TAATGGGGCAAGGTATTAGCAGTGTCCAAACAATATAACTTTAAAACAACAATAGTGTATCAGCTTTCTTTGGCCAAGAGAAGAGCTTTTTAAAGCAACTAGAGATGAAGAGAATCAGCTTTGTGTGATTGTAGCACAGCAATGCTTCATTTATATTAGTATCTTGTGACACATTTAACTTTAACAAAAAAATTGGGATATTGTACTTTTCCATATTGTGATGTAATATTTTGATTAATTCTTCAGCCCTTCAATCCATCTATTAGGTCTTCAGTTATTTCACATAACAAAGGACACATTTTGACCTGGGACCTGGGCTTACCAAAAATGGGGTATTCATCCTATGAGGGACATACATGTCCCTATAAAATATTAATGACAATACATTTATTAATTTTTGTGGAGATTGACCAAAGTGATGGACAAACAGACAGACCTACAACCCCCTGCCGCTAGCATGACTAAACACACCTCTCTGACAGCATACTGCTCACATACACTTTTATATTTATTTCACTTACTGATACACACTTTACAGATGAAATAAAACAAAATGAACAAGAGCAGAAATGCTGGAATGTTAATGAATGCAGAGGTCAGTGGTGGGCAGAGAGAGGGATATGAGAGAGGGAGACAGCAGAGAGACACAATTCACACACATGGTTCTAGTTAGCGGACTCCCATTAAGGACAATGTGGTCTGGAAGAGACTTTACATTTCACAGTTTAAGGGCATTTTTACGATACTTTTGCCCGCCACTGAAAGGTCACTTTCAGTCGATTTTCATGTGGATAATACACACTGTGCAACCGAAATATACATAAGACAACAACAATGGAAAATTGAAATGGTGAAATGGAGGTCAATAGTGGTTTGAAATGAAATGTAATATATAAGCAGGGAAACAAAGAATGTTAAAGTCCAAAGCCACCAGTTTGCTGTAAATATGGGTTATACATTTGCGGTGATAGCTAGAAATCTCTGTGCTATACTGTATTTGTTGGGATTTTCAAGTGACGCCATATTGGAATTCAGCCTTTGGGCTACAACTGCTGATTGAGACACAACCATACAACCTGACTTTATAAAAATTTTCAAACAAAGATACATAACTTTTGTCTTTTTGTGACCTGGGACTCTTTTATGACACCATTCCAATACATTTCATGTGTATATCAGCTGTTAGCAAGTGAACCGTAGTTGCTACATAGTTGTTACATACTAAATTAAATATCATTTATAAGTTAATTCTTAAATGCTATACAAAAGAGTCAAATCATTTAGTCAAGTGACCAAATACTCTCTCACTATTTCTACTATTAGGTACTGGTTATCAGAGAAAAGGCTGGTTTAGCTAATGTTTGACGAAAGGTGTGCAAAACATGGACATCAGCATTCAGTGGAAAGTGAGGCTTGAGTATTTTGAGGGGCTCTGTCTCATTGGTAGAAAGTAACTAAGTATGTTCACCAAGTACTGTACTTAAGTAGCATTTTGAGGCACTTACACTTAGACTATTTCAATTTTCTGCTACTTTACACTTCTACTCCACTGCATGTCAGAGGGAAATATTGTCATTTTTACTGCTACTGTTACTTTACGGATTCAGATTTTAGAAACATTAAATAAACTGATGAATCATGACACATAATTAAAGAAAAAAACAGAGGTTCCCAAATATTTTTGTTTGTGATCCCTTAGAAAAACTCAGGTCAGGGCCCCTCAGATTTATCTGGTGTCCCTTTGGAGGGGCCCAACCCCTATATTAGAATCCACTGTTGCATCAGTAACAATAACGAATAATATAATAATATAATATATAATAATATAACACTCACAGGGGCCATTTCCCTGTGGAACGAGTACTTTTACTTTCACCTTTTAAGTACATTGTATACTGTACTTTTACTTTTAAGTAGGATTTTAAAGGCAGGACTTTTAACTGTAATGGGGTTCTTTAATATTGTTGTGTTGGAATCTTTGGAAGTAAAAGATCTGAGTACTTCTTTCACCACTGCTCCATCTCCGTGGATAACTCTACATTAAGATAGTGGATGTCTTGGAGGAAGGGAGGGACCCGGTGCCTTTGTGTCTGGGTTTCAAGTTCACTGTTTAAAAAACTCTCCTTTGCTTTTCCATGCATGAATCCAGAGGATCATTAAATGGAAAAAGAGGCATAAGCACTTTCACACTCCGATTCATGCAAAGTGAGAAAGCAAGGAGACCATACAAAGGTATGTGTGATTACAGCTGATAGGGCTTCTAGCTCTTATCTCATCTCAAACAACAAAATCACCTTTTAGATTTGTAGTTTTAGATTTGAAGTAAACTATAACCTAAATTTAAATAATGAAATTGTCCAAAAACAGGTCTCAGCTTGCCCCTGTTTGTAGATCAGGTGTCACATTATTTGCAGTTTTTTGGATTTATAGTATGTGTGTTTGAACCTAGAAGGGCATTTAACCTACATGTAACTCCATCCTTGTATGTATGTATATGTTTGTGTGTATGTGTCGCTAACAGCCTGTTATGTTGATGTTGGCACCAGATGAAAGGGCTTGCACGGTCTCACATGCCTGTAAGAGGGAGGTCGGGGGTCTAATCACTACTTAAATATCAACTCTGTGGAGTTGTGGTCATTATAAACTGCAGCCTGACACACAAAAACAGAGTGAACACAGATGTTGTGAGGCAGACAATGCTGGGAACACACTAGAAGTTAATCACATTTGAAAATGCATTGATTCACATCCATAACAACGGATGTCTTTAATTTACTTTTTTCCTGCCTTCATAAATCTACTTACCTTAGAGTGATTTCTGTAAGTGAGACTTAAGAAATTTCACAGGAACCAATTTCACATGACATTTTGTTGCTCCATAGAGTCTCTGTGTTTTTCCATTTATTAAAGTATATCCAGAATAATGTGCATTTATGAATTCAAAGGAAGGGCGCAAAATTTTTGGAAATAGCTTACATGAGAAGATCAATATCTCTCTCATGTCTGTACATTAGGTTTGAAGCTACAGCCAGATACAGCAACTAGCTTAGCTTGGGAAAGTCTGAAAGAGAGGAAGGAAGGGTAAGCTGGTTTTCTCCAAAGTTTAAAAATACACTTGCCAACACTTCTAAAGCTCACCAATTTACTGACTGTATCTTGTTTGTTTGATCCACACACATGCTGAAATGTCACAGTGTGGTTTTAGACAACCCGTTCTCATTCCCCGACTCATCACATATGGACGAATGGTCAACACCCATCAGCGTCGGTTTGTAACGCAGATCCCTATAGTGTCATAGTTCAACGCAGTGGAGGGCCACAACCCGGACTTTGAACCAGGAGACTGGGGTTCGTGTCCCATGTGAATTAAAAAGTCAACATTTGTTTGTATTTAAGTTACGCGAGTTACCTAAATTGCATATGTTTCGTTAGTTACATTACATGTTAACTAACGTATGTAGTTATTTTAACCCAAACCATGATCTTTTCCTAACTGTTACCAAGTACTTTTTGTGCCTAAACCTAACCAAATTACAACGTTTCACAACTTTAATAGTGTGCCGTTTCAAAATGCTGATGTTTTGAAACGCTATTTTGACTTATTTTGAAAGTCTAACCGACGTTGCATGTTTATTGTTTCTAACTTTACCGGACGTTGCATATTTGTTGTTGCTAAAGATTGCTAACTTGACAGCAGAGCCTTATGCCGCATTCAGACAAACTGCAAATTTTCGCCTCACGACGCTTTCCTCACGTTAGTACATTCGCAGTAAGTGTTCACACACAGCGCGAGAAGGTGATTTTAACGCGATAAGGTGAATAAACACAACTCGCCATTACTACAACTGTATGAACCCGAAGTAAACATTTTGCTGTGATTAAATAGCAATAAACGGATCAAACTAATGCCGAAATAACTACAACATGATGCAGATTTGTTAAACATATGAATTCATGCTTTGTTAGGTCTGCCAGCAAGACAGCAGGACAACAACTTCTAAAATCTTTATTTTCTGAATGGAGTTTGGATCGATCAGGGCTATGCTAACTTGGTCACAGTAAAGTACAATGATAGCTGGAATAAAGTTACAGACACGTTTTCTGAACTCACCAGGTAGGTCAACCTCCTCGCTTTCTTTTCTCCCAGCAATGTCCAGTTTTGTCCGGTTTTTATATAAATATGAAGTCGTACGACGCTAACAACATTGGAACCGGATGTGCACGGAAGCTAGCTACTGAGAAGCTCCAGTGAAGATAAATCAACGTAGAAATCCCAAAAACAAAAGTAAAAAGATAATTTAATAAAAGCAGTTAACTCTGCGCTCCTCCCGCGAGTAAAAGGCGTAGTTGTCAGAGCAGAATCCGACAGGTTTCGGGTGTTATTTCTCCAATGGTTGCAGCGCTGCTTCCTACTCCTCTCCCCCAAAATCACGGCTCTAAGTGTCTTTGCATTGACTTTGTATGTAAACTCACCGCCCCCAACGCTCGCTTCGCTTTTGGTCTGAAAGCACCGTTGAAACGTCTAAAAACGACGCTAAAGAGGTACCCAGGGCGTTAAAATGCTACACCACAGGACCAAGCGTCCATATGTGATGAGTCAGGAGTGAGAATGTGTTGTTTTAGAGGGGCCTCAACTGCCTTTTATAACTTTTCTGCAATAAAGCAAATAAGCATTCCCTACATTTTTTCCCCTTTAAAATAAACCACAAACAAATAGCAGCATTATTCTTATAAAGCAATAGCTCACTTCACATGCTCCAGAGCAAACTCATCTGTCACTGGCTATAATAACCAAAAACCACAGGACATTAACCTGCTGATATTGATTGATATGAATGGGGAGGCTCAGATTAACTTGTTAAAATCTCCAGTCTCCCCTCCGACTGACATGATGGACATATCTGGTTTAAATCAGCACCATAGTCTTCTATTGTGTTCCCAGTTTAAGCTACACAGGATTCAAACATGGGTGCAAAAGAAACATTCTACATGAAAAATACTCCAGTATACAAAACATCTCTTTTTGCATCTTGGTCTCATAAAAGGAACTTATATCAAAGAACATATGCAATTTTCCCCTTCACAAACCATTTTGAATAAAAAATAATACAGACTATAAATAGACAATACTTTTTACACAAGGCACAGTTACTAGTGGTGTGTAAGTTTCTCTCATAGCTGCTGCTCCTCAAACAGAATCTGAGCGTACACCGTGCCGCTACATGTTGCCTTGGTTTCCGGAATTGGCTTCAAAAGATCCAGCTCTGCGTAGGTCAGATTCTCCTCCAGTATCTTCGGCTGGAGATGTGGAGATTGAGAAGAAAGAGGGCAGGGGGAAATAATGTTGGAGGAGAGGGAGGTGACAAGGCAGGGAAGTGGCATTGGTGATTAGAAAATGAGCAAGGAGGTTGAGAGAGATTTTTATGTCAAACTCTATCATTAATCTTAAGCTTCTTGAATATATATATGAATAGAGTTAACTAACTAGTTAAACTAGTTTAACTGAGTTAAAACTGAATCCTAAACAGCAGTTAGCATATATTTTATGCAGAGAAAGCTAGAAAATCCTAAAAGTTAGATGTTTTCCTCTCTCCTCTCCTTTCACTCCATTTCATTCTGCTTTATAACTATCACCTTACACAGTTCCTGGTTGCCAAAATTCAATTACCTCTTGCCGCATTATGTGTCATTAACATTTAAAAGTTGCCACATAGCCACTTTCCAGTAACAATTACAAAATTAAACCCAGGTTATGAGGCATAGTGATAATTGTAATGGTAATGGGAAACAACAATGGTAGACTGTCACTATGACAGCCTCGGTATGGTATGTTTTAGGCAAAACGTCCCAATGCAGTGTATTAATAGCAAGTCATATATGCCACACCAGCCAGTCCAGAGGTTCCTGTCCTGTGTTAAACCACATCACATCACGTCATGTCATGAAACCCAAACTATGATCTCTTCCTAAACCTAACAAAGTAGTATTGTTGCCTAAACCAAACTGCAGCTATTTCACAATGTCTTTACTACGGTCATTAACGTCACAACTGTTGCAGTTTTGGGGAACGGTCATCTATGTTGTTTTTGGAGTCATTGGCAATTGACCTATTCTGTTGTTTAGGCATGAGGACGTGTTGGCCACACACTTCATGTGTTGGTTAGACGAGAAAATGATTGCTTAGTAGATTCCTGATTATCATCAATAAAGAACGATGATTAAAGTAAACAACTCACCAACACAATTTTCCTTGGTTGTGGTTTTAGAAGTTTGGGTTTCCGTGTTTTGTCTCCAATGGGAGCTGCAGGGACAAAACAAATATTAGTGGTTTAGCAGAGATCTGTTACCTGTGATCTGTATAATATATGTATTTATGTGTGCAACAAGAACCAGACCTTGACGTGATCTCCTTCATGTAGTGTTTAGACATATTGTTGTGAGTATAATAGGGAAGGGGAGACCCTTACTGGTTCTCATATCTAAAATTCAGTAAATAAGGTTGGTGGTCGTCTGAGTGGGGCTTTGAATAATAAACAAGAACCATTCACCTCTTTGGCTTAAACTAATGTCTTTATTATTATATTAACAATAGATCAGATAACTTCTGAGTTTAACAGCATTTTTCAGCTCGTTGTTTTGGTTTTATTGCCTGCAATTTAAAGGAATTGTCTGACCATTTGGGAATCACACTTATTTAAATCCTTCCAGCAAGTTAGATGTGAAGGTACTACTCTGATGTCTGTATATAAAAACAATGTTTTTATGTGCTATGCTCTGTTGTAACTATGCTGGAGTATTTTTACTCAATAAACAGATATGTCAATTAGTGAGCTTTGAATGCTACTGAATGCTAATGTTGCTTGGTGTATGCTAGATGTGTAAAAGGCAATTGTTTGCAGACAAATACCCCATAGTTATTTTATACGCTGACATTATGTAAATGTTGTGTTGACAGGTTGCTCTGCTGCCCCCAAATGGCCAGAAATCAATTAATACTGCTTTAAAAAATTTACGTCACTTGCACAAAACAGCAACCATCAGCAAAGTCTGGCTTAAGAAGCTCCAAACAGCAGCATGTTCTTTTCAACACAGTTCCGACTAAAATTTTAAAACATCAACACTGAGTTTGGAGCTCAAAATATCTTGCGTTTTTTGCTTTCAGTTAAAAAATGATGCATTACATTCCACATGCTACCCTATTATTCAATAGGTTATATATGGAAGAGGTGGACGTGGACCTCTAATGCCAGCCCATGTTCATGTTTGGAAAGCTAAGCAGAACACAGTGAACCTCGAGTTAAACCTCAGTTTGGACTAAATCGCATGCTCAGCTGTTTCTGCTGGTGTGTAAATGAGCCATGTGCGAGTCACGTGTCTTTTGTTGACAAGGTGTGGTTCATCTGTGATTTGACAGTTTACATCTACATAAATACAAAAACAAAAATGTTTCATTTTTTCAACATGTTTTAGACAAAATTGTAAGTTTAAATGTACCCCAAGACTCTTATTTACCTTTTGCTGGTATCTCTGGCGGTATCTCCTCTTGGTAGTCTCTGCTCCTTTTCTTCCTGTACCTCCTCTCCTTCTTAGGCAGAGCAGGAGACACACTGACCACACTGGTGACTGTCTCGCCTGAGCTGGATTGAGACCAGATTACCAGAGGTTCAGTGCAGTTAAGAACATTTGAGTGTTTGTTAACTTTTTTGGCTATGTGTGAGGCTGTGTCGCCCTAAACTCTTACCTGTTCTGAGGGCTTTTGACCAAGAGGTAATTATCTGCGGAGAGGTAACACATTTAGAAATGTAATAACTGATGGTGGAGACGAAGGTTATTGTACTTGTTACTGTACCTGTTAAATGGAAACTTAAAAGCTCTATACAAAGTATGTTTTTACTTTAAAAAACATGAGGAGTTGTAGAGAAAAAAAATGGAGAAAACAAAGAAAGCAGGATAACAGAGAAAATGGAGACATCAGAACCAGATTGATAAAGGTCAAAGGTCAGTGGAGAGTTATCTTGATGTGGCTGCTAACCTTTTAACCTCTGCTTCCTCTGTATGAACTGGCAGGTTATCGTCACTGTGAACATGCACATACACAGCAGACCCACTGAGCAGATCAGCACTGCACACAGGTACACATCTGAAACACAAAAACATGTACACACATTAGTCCAACAGTGCTTCAGCCTCATGCCTGTTGCTTGAGTCTTCACACAAAAAAGAGAAAAAAAGTACATGTTTTGCTGAGCTATTTAAGGCACTGAACTATATCCTTTGGGTTAGGCTTTTTTTGCCTGCCAAGAACTATACAGTGCCAGTTCACCACAAACACACACGCACTCAAACACACTAAAATATGACTTACCTTCAAACAAGCTCCACAGGCCATCTTTGGCCTTGGTGGCCGGTAGGACATGCACTACATGGAGAAAGACAGAGAGAGAAGAGAAACGTAAAGTCCATAGTCATCACTTAGGCCTCCCTACAGCCTGATTACACGCTGGCTAGAGTTTAAATAGAGCTAATTGTAGGAAGACAATGAGCCGAGATTGGCCTCCTCCCTGCCTGATCCGGTGTCTGAATCACTGTCCAAATGGCTCAAACTTGACTTTTACTGGATGAATTGGTTTTGAGTTAGCATCATTGTAAACGTTTACCTCCATTCTCTGACTGTTACCCTCTCTTTTATCTTCATAACAAATTGCTTTGGTAGAACAACCTGTGCCCATTCTGACTAGCTATATCCACACTGTGGCTGCATGTCCCACCTCAGACTTGTTTTTGAGCATGAACATCAAAATGTTGCCAGGAACATTCAGATCCCAGTCCATTTGATCTACAGACATTTGAAAATATCGTATTTATAAGTAAAATTCATGGCCTGAGACAGATGGTGAAATATTAGCACTACAGCAGCTTAGCTAACAAGCCTTATCATGGAGAGCAACAAGACACACATTTCCAGCCTAATTGCAATTTGTGATGATGCCTCAAGCCATGCCCTTATCGATTATGCATTCCCAGCCAGGAATTTAACAGAGACTTTGTGGTTAAAGTGGTATAAACTTTAACTATTAGGCCACCAGGGTGCCCTGGGACAAGCTCGCTAGCTCATAAATGTTAGCTCCATGAGTTGGCTGGAAACTCTGTCGCTGGTTGACTTTTTAATCTCTTAGCAAACTCTTAACTGGCTCAAATAAAATTATAACACTGCAAAAGGTATTAAAAAATTATTTGACGATTACGTATGATATTTGATGAACGAGTTGTTATGGTGAACAACAGACTTAAGCTGAAGCATACAGCAAAAAAGTTTGCATCCTCACCAGTTAATGATCACAAAGTTAGCTAGCCCATGTATGATAGTCATATATGTTGTTTTTGGAGTCATTGGCAATTGACCTGTTGTTTAGGACGCGTTAGTTTATGCATTGCATTGAATGAACAATATAAATGTTTGAGGGAAGGATTTAGTGATCTGTCAGTTCAGACAAAACTTTTATGAGAAGCTCATCAAAAAAAGATGTGACTTAAATTGTCTTTTCAGCTTCACCATATCTTAGATAGGACATTCCAGCATGGAGTGGTTACTGTTACACCCCAAAACAAATCCAACATAAGAACCAATGGGGAATCAAAGGCTTGTGAATCCAGACTAAATCTGTGTAATGAATCCCAGCTACGTGCTGCTTGTTTCCAAAATAGGCAAATATGTTTCCCATACTCAACGTGAAAACTCGCACCACACACTCACTCATTTCTCCACCCCATCTGACCACAGTAGTCTTAACACCGCTGTACTCTTGCTGAGCTGGTGGTAGGAAGCTCGTGAAGTGACACCCACCAGGGCATCTTGAAATACCCCAAACCACCAGCAGCTGACGACAGGCAGGCTCGCCACGCCGGCTGGAGACTTTCCCACAGGCAGACTGACTCTGCTGTGAGCTGACTGACTGACAAACTTACTTCAGATGATTCCAAAATGTATCTACACAGAAGGAGCTAAATTAAACATCTATCTCTCATATCTACTCTGCCATGCCTTTCAGTAGATATTAGTAGTAGTAACCCAAACCTTCCTTCTGATAGCTAAAAAAAATGGGAGACTTAATACAGTACTATTTGAGCAAGTGTGCACTACAACAAATGAGAAATATACACTTCCTCCATCTGTAGGTGAATGAAAGGAGAAGGTGTTTTCTGCAGGTTATGGGCAAATAGATTTATGAAAAAGTGGATGCACACTGAAAGATAAAAACCTAAGGACACTTGAACACTTAGGATGACCTCCCAATCACAACTTTAATTATAGAAAAGATGAAATTAGGTAGTGCCATAAAGCTGTGTGGAGCAGCCTGAGCATGAATTAAACTGTCAAACATCACATAAAGCAGTGGGATATTTACTGCCAAGCCTGCAGTTCTGAAAAAAGAACGAGATTAAATCCTAGAAAAGTGTTTCTTCAAAATGCAGGATCATGCATAAACCTCTATAGTCAAAGGATAACATTTATTAAAACTTAATGTCACTACAATACCAGCAATAAACAACCCAATCTACATTTGTGTTGATATCAACCATAGAAGAGGTGAATTGTGCTTGGAGTTCCAAAAAGATCCCTCTCCTCTGTTAATTTGCTTTCAGTTATCAGGTATTTTCCAACCCTGAAAAAAGTGACTCACAATTTCACCTAGTTTGAACGCTTTCCTTAATCTTCTTAATATAAAAAAAATGTTGGTTTAAAGGCTTTTATGGACTCAACAGTCCCCAGACTGTTCTCTCTTGGGAAGATACAAGGTAGATTTATTTGTCACATTACAACAGGTTGTAAAGTGAAATTGAGTTAGTAACTCCCTTCTGATACATAGTAGACAATATACAGTAATATAAAAGCAATTACAAAATGGTGAACAGAAATAATCTATATTCAAAGATTTCTTTGGATTCAATCCCCATCTGACTGACCATATGTGAACTAAATTCTGCTGTTAGGAAACACTATCATCTTTAACGGGAAGATAGACAAAACAGAATTCAAGGCTGTGAATTCATATGTTTTTTGCAGAATATTTATATTGGAAATCTGAGTAGGTTTGTAGTTCAAATGGCAAATTATGTGGACAAAAGAAGATGAAATGCCTTTCATACTAGTTAAGTGATTTTTTTTTTACCAGTTTGGCTATCGTTTGGTCAATAGCATACTTTCAAACTGCCTAGCCTTAAAATTTCTAAACAACTCAGATATTAAAGGCAAACTGAAACTCAGTAAACACTTGGAGTAAAGTATGTGTTAGCTTCCAGAAGGTGTCTTTAGAAACGAACCTGTGGTGTGATAGGCTACATTCAGACTGCAGGCCTTAATCCTCAATACCGATTTTTTTCCCAGATCCGATTTTTTTAATTGACAGTTCACATTATTGCTTAAATGTGGCCCATATCAGACTCCAGCGTGAACTATCCATGGCCTGCAAGTGACCCGCATGCGCAGAAGAATTAAATGACATCACACACAGCACGCTGTCGTATGGAAGTAAAGAAGGAGCCACAGACGTTAGCTTCGGTTAGCTCATACGTGCTAACCCTCCTGATTTTCACAGGACACTACTGTATTTCATTGTCCTCTTAAGGTTTCCAAATGTTTCAACTTTCTGCCCTTTCCATTACATTCATTACCGTTTCTGGCACAACGCATGACATCAAAGTCGCATGAATTCTGATCAGAGTGTCCAGACTGAGGTTGAAGTTCAATAAATCCAATCTGTATCGGATTTGGACCACATGTAAAAGTAGCTCAAATCCGAACTGGAAAAAGATCGTATTCCCTGTGACTTGGCCTGTTCACACTTTGGCCTTCAGTCTGAACGCAGCCATAGTGACTTATCGGTGATCTACATCGTGCAATTTGGGTGTTATTTGCAAAGCTTGTGTGAAAAGCATTTTTTATATAACACCAACATTGTAATGTCCCCTTTTCTTGAAACCACCAGTGTATGTTATCGGAATCAGAATCAGAATCAGAAGGAGCTTTATTGCCAAATAGTGTTTTACACATACGAGGAATTTGCTGGGTTGATGAGGTTCTACACGTAGACAAACATACAGTTGACTTAAATAAATGTAGAAATATATGAATAATATGGAATGGAAGAACAACGTTGCAGATATATACATGTGCATTATTCTGGGTCTGTGCCATGCAGAAGTAACGCAACGGAAGAGAATATTGTGTACATATAAATAAACTGACAACATAAAAATATACAACAACAAAGATCAACAATCAACAACAAAGCAAATGATGCGCGGTAGCCTGCCCTTGTCCCTGTCAGTGGCAGCAGCATACCAGATGGTGATGGAGGAGGTGAGGATGGCGTTGCAGAAGTGCACCATCATTGTCTTTGGCAGGCTGAACTTCTTCAGCTGCCGCAGGAAGTACATCCTCTGCTGGGTCTTCTTGGTGAGGGAGGTGATGTTCAGTTCCCACTTGAGGTCCTGGGAGATGATGGTGGCCAGGAAGCGGTCCACAGTGGTGACTGTTAGGACATCACAGCCTCTGTAAACTCATCCAGATTGTTGGTAGCCTTCTTGAAAACATCCCTGTCAGTGCAGTCCAAACACGTCTGAAGATCCTCTATAGCTTCACTAGTCCACTTCTTTGATGTCTTCAGTATATTATTATTATTGTTATTATTATTACACTATTATAGACAGTAGTATTGGTGGTAAAACTACTGTAATACCGGTGTATGGCACAAAAAGGCCGCACAGTGAAATAGAATTTAAAACAGACTTTCTCCCGCTTGTTTGAAATGGCAGATGATTTGATTTAAAGACCTGCACTTCCTTCACAGTAAATTATTCACAGCATAAATCTTGATAACATCTATGACGTTTATGATGTGTTTTTGCCTCGGGTTCTGTGTAGCTCTGTCAGTGCAGCAGATGGAATAATCAGAAATGGGATAAATGTGGTGTACTGTATGCCATAAAACTGGCTTCTGTCCTTGTCTAGAAAAGGTCTTCTTTTTACAGCAACTTTTGAATGGCTGAAGACTGCATTGGACTACAGTGGAAACATTGAGACAAACTGCTTTTTGTTCATCAGAGCAACAGAGTTGCATTCATTTGCTGCCTGTATGTTAGATGTGTGGCTCTTTTTTGTGCCCCAACAAACCCAAAACTGTAAACATCAATACAGAGATGTGGACTGGAGTGAATAATGACCCTCTGTGTCTTCACTATCTACTGACAGCCACTGCTGTAATTTACTGGATTATAAATGACTGGAGATGAATTTAAGAACACAGCAACATTTAGTGTCTTAACAAACCTTTGAATAATCCACCCTTTTACGTACTGTTACTACTACTTTACTAGCATCTATCTATACATTTGCTCACTATGCTCACTATGACCCTA